GGATGTCATCGATATTATACTTGCACAATTCTTACAAAAACGAAAAGTAAATCTTCGCTTTGTTTACACATTCAATTGAATTTAATTATGAATATATCATTAAATATATTTCGGTTGGGCGATTAGGACGAAAATCCAACAGCGTACAAATTAGCATGTGATGTTTGCAGAGCAACAACGGAAAAGCTTCAGCGATATGTTTGTCAGGTACGTCATATGAATTATGTTCTTGCTTTTAGAGTTATATTTAATACAATTGTTTTAAATTAAAAATTTAGTATTTCACTGATGTTATTGTTGCTGCCGGCAAAACTGGAACACCCACAGAAGAGTTAAATGATTTTAAAACAGCACATGATCTAATAAAGGAGCTAAATCGGTCAGCACCTGGGTTGTTACTCAATGTCATACCACAATTAGAAGAGGAGCTAAAAGTAAATAATTGAATGTTCATTATGAATCCTTCATGTCTGCATATTTTTAATTTAACGTTTTCTAGCTGGATGATTTGAACCTACGTATGCTCGCTACACAAGTTCTCGGCGAGATGTTTTCCGAGAAGGATTCTACCTTAGCTAGCCGTTATGATAATGTATGGAAGATGTGGCTTCTCAGGTTTGTTTTTGCATCACAATTAAATCTAAATTTGGTGATTTGCCATTTATATTATCGCCACTATACAGTTATTTGAATTTGCAGGCGGAACGATAAAGTAGCCGAAGTACGATGTGCTTGGACGGAATATTGCCTACCTCTTTACATTAATCATCACGAATTAGCTAAGCAAGTCAACGGTAGCTTAATACTATCTATTTATTATGCTAAAAAAGGAAATTAGCAAATACTTAGTCAATTACATGATTCAATTCTATTAGAGGCTATTATTACCAAGATGTCAGATCCTGATGAGAAAGTTCGTGTCACTGTATGCAAAGTTTTCACCAAATTAGACTATGAGTGTGCGTCAAAACTTATAGAGAAGGAACTTTTTATTGAACTAGCTAAACGTTGTCGGGATCGCAAAGTAAGACCAATTTGTAACGTATAAATTATAAAATTTGCCAATAGCTAAAAAAATTTACTTATTGGTTCTTTCTATTATCTATTTAATTTGATTACCTCTGTTTTGTAGCATGGTGTTAGAAAACAGGCCATAAATGCTTTGGCACGCTTGTACAATTTGGCATACCTAGAAATGTGAGCCTAATTGATATTGTATATTAAATGAATTAACAATGACTACAAGTACAATTTGATGTATGTATATATTTTAGAGTCGATCACGATGCAAATGCAGTCGAAAAATTTGGGTGGATTCCATCAGAAATACTAAATACACTCTATACAAATG